TAAGTGGACCTATCCAGGACGCCGGTAGGGATTAAGTGGACTCATCCGATATGCCGGTGAGGTATAAATGGACCTGCAGGGATTAAGTGGACCTATCTGGGACGCCGATAGGGATTAAGTGGACCCATCAAGACGCTGATGGGGTATATAGGTGACCTACTTGGGATGCCAGTAGGGTAATTTTGTGGAATCTTTTGAATTATGCACTGCCGTTAAAATGTTATATGCATTTCAATTATTTGGATTATGTTTAATTGGGTATTTCTAAAAGTGAAATTGTTATCTATAAATGCTTGTGCTCGCATTGTTTTTAATTGACCTCCATTTTAAAAGTTTGTTTATATCTTTCATCATGATTATTTTTAGGATTATGATGATCATTTACTGAGTAGCCAAACTCATCAAACTATGGTAAACATTTTCAGGATAACTGCAGTTTCATTTGAGTGCTCGTTAGGATCAACTTTGGAAGATATTGTAGTTGTGCCTAAGCTTTTTTTTGTTACTTTGTAAGAATTTACCACTGTAAATTTGTCCTATCAACAGATGTATATATGTTTTGACTGTCACATCTCAAGAATATTTGTATTGTAAATTCTTGGGGTGTGACAACTTGTAATCTTTAACATAGAGATCATGAATATGAATAAATAAATAAATTTTTAAAATAAAAAAATAACAATTATAATAAAAAACATTTGGGCAGTTAGTTTCCAATGTTTTTAAATGAACACTTACTTGCATCCATCTTTAAGATGGATGCTTTTCACTTTGTGGACGGCATAGGTAGAAATGTGGTCTAGCCCGTATGAAACAATTTTCCGTAAACAAATGGGTCATGTAGTGACAAGGTCTACAGTACTTGTTAGCCGCGCAACGGCTTACACGCTAACGCGCTCTCCCGTTGCTTGGTTGTAGTTTTCTTCGCATCGCATCGTCCCGTTTTCTTCGCTTAGACAATAGGCGGTCCATTCTGTATCTAGACAATAGGCAGCCCAATGGCTTGGAGTCCGGTCTTACTTAGACTACTCAGTTGGGTTTGGGTCGAAGTCAAATTGGGCTCGATTCATAGTTCTAAGGCAACTAAGTTCAAATGGAAGACCATCCTAATGGATGGTTTTTCATTTTTTATTTCTATATGTGATAGAAGAGGGACCGGAACCCCCCCCTCTCTCTCTTGACAAGGCTGTGATTCATGTCCAACTATAAAATATTTATGGCATAGTATCAAGATTGGGTTGTTTGGCGGCCCTGACAGTCAGACTACTAAAAAGACTTTTGGCCTTCCCGACTAAAGCAAAAACCTAAGTTTGGTCAAAAACCCAATCAAAACCAATACTAAACAGGTTTTCCAATCGATTCGGAAAGTATTGATTGATCAGGATGATTAAACAAAGCCGGGCATTTTCTTTTTTAACTATTGATCCTATTTTCCCTTTATTGTTTAAAATTCATATCCAAACGGATTCAACTACCAGACTCCACACCGGTTAAGTGACAGTCAAATCCATATAAAACTGATTTACGGTGACATTTTTAAGCCATTTCATGGAGCTGCCCCTTGAAAAGGTAAATTTTTGTATTACAAATTGGCCCCCGATTTTTCCTTAAATAGAGGTTGTTCTCTCTAGAAATCAAATACTCTTTGCCATTGTCTTGGGTGAATGGAGATACACATTCACTACGTAATTTGGGAGGGATCAAATCCAATATCCAAACAAGTACTGTGCATGCAAGGGGCACATTAATCCCATGGCCTGTCACTCAAAGTCATACCCAAGCATCAAGTCAGTAACTCATATGATTCATTTTCATTATAGAATAAATTTCATTGAAGAATAAATAGATCAAGAGAATCTCTCATCTGAAGTACAAAAAAAAGAGAGCCTCTCATCTAAAGTACCAAGATCCCATAATAATTTGTCACTACGTAAGGTCAAGCTTAATTATGGTGGCTCATAAGGCGATCAATTTCAAAACTTACATCAAAATAAAGTATATTTGGAGTTGTGGCGCTTTGAATGCTGAGGTTCAAATTTTACTCCTAAACCACATAGAGTCCAAATTTTACTCCTAAACCTCATAGGGTCGTGATACAGTGAGAAAATAATAAATAAATAAATAAAGATAAAAATAAATAATAATAAAAATATACTCTCACTAAGGATCTGTAAAGGAGTTCATCCAAAAATCTCTTTACAAAATCCAAAAATAATTTCTTTACTCAATTCACCCTCCCTGAATTTAAATAGCGCATCCTTTTCTTTAAACACAACTAAAAGAATTAATAATAATAATAAAAAAAGATAAAGGAAAAACCAATAAGAACCTCATGTACCCACATTTTTTCTTTCTCTATATGGTCCACATTTGTCTCTCTTTAACGACATGTAAATTTGTTGACATCCTTATCTTACCTATTTTATCTCTCTAATTTCCTAGCCACTTCATCTTTTAATATTCTACAAAAAAAAAACCCACTTCATCTTTTAAAATAGAATACACTTTTCAAAAAATGTAAAAAATAACAAAAAAAATCATTGCATCTTTCTCATTAGATTGGGAGAAGCACGACCTTCATCTTGAACATCTAAACTCCTCTAATAATCTTTCCAATAGTTGGTGATGCAAGATATTTTTTCTTTAACAAAACAATAACAGAACTTGTAAAATATCCAACTTGATTTTAATTTCTCCTTCGATTTTGAAGGATGGTATTTCAAACATTGCAAGTATTGTATCTTTTTCTTCATAATTGTCTACATCTTTTACACTGGGATTTACCTCTTCGTGTTCTTTCTCCTCATGTTGTAATCTACTAAATAAATATTGTAGATATATCAGGTCTTCTATGATTCGCTCAAATTTTTCATTTAATCGCTCAAATATTTAATCTATATACTCCATAATGGGATTTGTAGATATTTGTAAAGCATCATGTTTTATGGATCTAAGGCTCTGATCTCAAGGCTCTGATATTAGATAATAATAACTAAAAAATAAAAATAAAATAAATAGTTGAAAATCTAGCCTCTCTCAAAATATGCAAAATATGCAAGGGTCTCCACCCCGACCCAGAAATAATTTCTTTACTCTATTTAACCTAGTTTCAAAGAGAGACATCATTTCCCTTTAAATACAAATAAAAGAATTAATTAAAAAAGTATGATAAAAACAAAAGTTAACAAAACCTCATCTCCCCACGTTTTTTCTCCATCTCTATATCTTCCACATTGTCTATCTTTAACCTCATGTAAATCTCACTCTATATCCTTATCTTACCTATTTTCTCTCTCTAGTTTTCTAATCACTTCATCGTTCAACATAAAATAAACATTTCAATTCTACCACTGAAATCTATACAACCAAGAAAGACAAAAATAACCCTAATCCTAAAAAAATAGCAAAAACAAATAAATATTTGTCATTGCATCAAGTCCTTTGCTTGTGTAGATTGACATGACAAATGTGATCGGTTGAGCAAATTGTGAGTTGCAATACCTGTGGAGACTTCCATGTATATCCATTAAAATAGATGAGCCCAAAGCCGTTAAATCTCTTTATGCAATGTCCTATGTAAAACCTAGGAGTGAGTTGGTTATCTATCAAAGACGAGAGCCATAATCCAAGTCTCAAGGTTGGAGACTTTGTTTTAGTGTGAAACATTAAGCCCACTTTGTCATCTCTCTTTCTTGCAGAGTTGTGGATTCTATCCTCACTTCATGTACACTAGAGCAACTTAAGAATAAAACAATTATTACAATCAAGAAATGATCAGATTAATGAACGAGTTAAGGTTCAGAATCCAATACCAAAAAAAAAAGAGTAACACATGCACAAGTGGGAAGAGCGAACTAAGCTATCAGGCAACAATAAACAATTGCATAACATTCTTTTAAGGACTATTATGTGAACTTCCTCTTAAACTGCAAAAGCATGAAACAATGATTAGAGAGAAGGAAAAAACAATGAATTTTGTCAATTTTCAAGAGAACTGAAAACAGGTTTGACTACAAATTTTCCATTTCGACTTTATGTTCTCAAAGTTCTCAACTAGCTCAGAATATACCCTGATAAATTTCACATCACCCTGCCACCAGCTGAAATGGATCCAGAGCAGTTGTAAGTCCGGCCTTTTTGTCATCATTGCCAGTGAGCCAATGGTTGAACAATTGCAGCAGCATGGAATGAAAAGCTTAGGAAAAATAAAATAATCCAAGAGAACAATAAGATATTATATCTACTACGTAGAACCAGGCCATATGAATCCACGGGTAATGCCTCCAGAAAGGCAGGAACATCGAACCATTTAATAACTCCCTCCATCTCAAACAGTGGCAAACTCAGCAAACTGAGTCAGAATGTCTTGAAACCTCAGGTAATGCGGAATGCACATTATATGAATAAAAAAAAGTGAGGAACTCATTAAAAGAATTCTATTTATCTGATTGAGACCTAGTCTAAGCATAGTTGACTATTTTCACAAACTTCAGCCGAGAAGCTCACCCCTCACCACCCTTTTTCTACGTTAAAATATTGAAAATCATGGACCTCTCACATCTCAGGTCTTAGTTCAACAAAACTGGGAAAAGGTTCCAATCATTTATGACCTTCCTGTTTTTTGACAAAGTATTACTTCAACATACAAATTTTAATTGTGATTAAAGGCAATGAGCCATTGAGTAAATTACTTCTAAAACTGAAAATTGGAATAAACAATTTGACCATGACTGAGATTAATGACCGCCCCAAGACATTCCAAATGATAGGTACAAGCAATAATTAGTAATGGTGCCTTGAAGATGTAGAAAATCCTTGGGAAGAATACACAGCATCAAGAGTTCATTATTTACCTTCTTTAATAAATATTACCCATTTACATTATATCCATGGTGATGAATTCCTTCATTGCCTTTACAAGCTATTCACAAGTGAACTACCAAAACATAGAAAGTTTCTTAAACAATGTATTTTAATTAATAAACAATGAAATCAAATAACTAAATGTTAGCTAGGCTATCAAAGACCTCATTCACAATAAGCAAAGTGTTGTCTTTGTTAGCTAGCTCTGCAAGCGCTCGGAGAGTACGCGAAGGAGGAGTCAATCCATCCCTGATCATTTCATCATAGTAATAAAGAGCCTTTTCTATGTTCCCGCTTTCACAATGCCCAATAATCAATATATTATAGATACTCTTTGTTGGAGATAATAATTTATCTCTGCAAACTTTTAAAATCTTCTCCGCTTCCTTCACCTTTCCCCGCCTACATAGATCCCCAATCATCAAGCTATAAGCCATGTGACCAATTGAAGGGCCATTAAATTTCATCTTATAATACAGTTTAGGGGTATCTTGGATATTATGACCCTCTCTGTTGTATCCATCGATAAGAAGACCATAAGTTATTTCATCAGGCGAAAAACCCATGTCTAAAAGATCAGTTAATAAGCCAATAGCCTTATCTACCTAACCCAATTTGCAGAGCTAGAAAACAAGCTCATTGAAAGTACATACGCTAGGTAAATACTTCTTTCTTATCATTTCTTCATAAAAATTTAAACTCTCATCTAATTTCCCAAGCTTAAATAATCCCTCAATTAAAAAATTGTAAGTCATATCATATGGTTTCAAGCCTTTTAATACCATTTCCTTCATTAATCGGTTTGCTTCTTCAAACTTACCTTCTTTACAATATAAACCAATAAATTAAGTGCAGGCAAATGAGTTTGAAGGGAACCCCTTCTTAAGGAAGTCCTCATGCATCTCGTTTGCCCTAACCAGGTCTCCTTTCTCACAAAACCCATATATTATCAACAAATAAGCAACTTTATAATAATCTTTTGAACTATTCTCCTTAAAAAGACAATACCTTGATCCCATATTTTCTCTTTAAACATATTATAAACCAGAGCTACATTAACTATTACACCAGAATCAGATCTCTCTTTTTGAATCATGTTCACAAGGTCCAAGAATTTCTATAATTTTCCTTCCTTTCATAGCTCATTAGTCAATGTTCTAACAGTAATCACATTGGGGTACGTTCTTCTCATAAGCATATCTTCATAAATTCTCCAAACTAGAGTGCTTTGATTCGATTTTTGCACAAAATTTAACAGAATGTTCCAGGTTACAATACTGGGAGAAAACCCATACTTCTGCAATAAAGAATAAGAACTTATCGCTTCATCAAACATTCTCAATCTTGCATATGTTTGAACAAGAAAATCAAAAACTCGAAAGCTTGATCCAGTGATGTCATAAGTGCCTAAAAGAGATTCAGATAGCTTGGGAAAGCCAGAATCCCCAATGCAATGCTTTTTCATGGTAGATTCCAAAAGGGCTTGAGCGTGAGTAAATAACTCAAATTGAACAAGAATGTCAACGATGATACAGTATGTGCTGAGGCCATGGTCGATCTTTTTGCAAAGAGAGGACCAGTGAAAGAAACTCAATGCAAGTTTTGCCTCATTGGGCTCTTTTAAATTGAGTAATACCTGTTCGATAATGGCCTCATTCAAATTAATCACTCCAAAACGCAAGCTTAAATCATTCCAATTCCCACTTGTCCTCAGCATATCACACATCCCTGTTACCGTTTAGCATCTTTGAAATTTTTCATTTTATCATGAAAAACATCAGCTTTTGGAGCATCTTCAAGGGCCTCATCTCTCTCCATAGAAAGTTTCGATTTTGTGTCATTGTTCGATTCTCTTCACCTAGAAGATGACGAGAAAATGTCTTTTGAGTTACTTTCCTCAGTGAAAATTTGAGCAAGACTGCTTCTTTTTTCATGGAAGGGCCTAAGGATTAGGACATTATGGGGGTTGAATATGTTACTAAATCTAGCGAGAGGGAATCCATGAAGTGGACTACAAAACCTTTGAATAATGTATCTTGATAAAATCATTTGGGTTAGCAAGCGCATTATGAATAAGCACAAGGGGAAGTATAAGTTGGCTTCATGGGAGAAAAGATGATGGTTTCATATGAGCATGGTGATAGAAGCGCGTACCTTTTCCTGTAGTTGTTGTTGCAGGAGAATAATGGCGATTTAAGAGTTTCCTTCTACTTGTTAATGCAGGAGAATAATGGTGGTTTAAGAGTTAATGGGCCTATAAATTATCAGGCCATCGCCCTCTAAGAAGCTTTAACGGTCGCATCATGAACTCAGGGGGCTGTTCTCTCTCTCTCTCACGTGAACTCAGGCACTCCTCTCCTAAATATTTAGAGTATGTCTCTCTCTTTGGGCTGGGCGCCTCTCTCTTGCAGCTCCTGCCACAGTTTCCAGTTAGGGCGAGCTCCTATCAATGAGTACGTAAAATCGGATATAGCTTAGCCAAAAGACATTCTATTCCCTCAAGAGTACGCTCTCTATTTACTCCCTAGGGTAGTGCCACGCCTAGAATTAATTTTAGAACATCAAAATTTGGGAAATAACTTTTTCAATTCATATATTAATCTCAGAAAAAAAAAGGATAGTTTTAATTGTATCCTCTTTGTACTTAAAAAAATAATGTTCCGAGATTGAATAGAGACCATCCAAATTTTAGAGGGTGGGATCTAAGTGATAGAAAATTCAAAGTTTAAATTTTTTATTAATAATAAACTAGTAATCCATTTGTAAGGATCAGAACTTTGTGGCAAGAAGTGATGCGCTGCCAAAGTGGTAGGCACGTGTGCTGCCGTCACGCGTGTAGTAGATAGCCACCGAGCGTGTAGCCGTCGGGAGTGTAAAGGAAAGAGAGAATGCACCTGTCGGGAGTGTAGCCTCCAAAAGTGTAATGGAAAGAGAAAAGGTAACCGTTGGGAGTGTAAAGGAAAGAGAGAAGGCAGCCGCCGTGTGTGAAGAAGACAAGAGACAGCTGCTGTGTAGGTGTGTGTGTGCCCGCCGCCATGAGTGTTCTGCCCAACCACCGCAGGTGTGTTTGCTAAGCATCGTGAGTGTGCATGTGCACTACCTGCTTACTGTATGCTGTCATACATACCACTTGCCCCTTTACATGGGGATGTAAACGCCGCATGGCAAATTCGAGTTGCCACCTCCCACTCTTGGTTCACTTAAATACGCCTTCTCTCCTTCTCCCCAAGGTTTTGTTCTCTCTCTCTCTCTTGAGGCACCTTTTCTCCCCTTCTCAAACTTTGGGCGTGCAGCCCCTTGGAACTTGATAGGGTGGGGACTTTTGGGGCACCTTTGAACACAAGTAAATAGATCAAACACCTTGTAATCCTTTAGTCATGAAAGCATAAGGATTAAGCATGAACTTGTATGAAATATGAGGGGAAAGGTTGTGTGTATATGTCCTTAGATATGTCACGTCTTTCCAAGAAGATGGGTCTTCATATCATGAAAATTTGTGAAACGATGACCATGTGAGTCTAATTTAAGATGAAAGAGGTTTTATGTAAGAGTACTGGTCCTATAGGACCCTCACCCACCCCAAAGGATCACCATTAAAGTTGACACGGATCGCTAAAAGAATTATCACATGGGTGTGAAAATTGACTTTCCTAGAGATTTGTGCTGGCTCTAATGGTGATCATTTGGAGGTCCTACAAACATGGATGGGAGAGGGTCCTATAGGATCATTTCTCTCTATGTAAATATCTATCATAAATTGGGAGTTATTGATTGTTCTTTGAGATATGTCATGATTACACTGTGAATTTCAGGGAAATTTCATGTTCTTGTAATGAACTTTTGACTAGGCAAATAATGTCCAAATGGCTCCAAATCACCTCTATTTGAAAGATACATGTGTGTACTTTGATTTTTAAGTTTAAGCCCATTAAAATTCTTTATAAATTGGAAGCTATATTTCGATTTGAAAGACCATGTCATTGATTATCAAATTTAAGCAGATTTCATAAATTCATTCCTGTTGTCTTGAGCTTTTAGCTAGCCAAATGAGGTCCAATTACTTTAAAAAACAACTTCATTTGAAAGATATGTGTTTCTATTTAAACTTTGGTTCCGAAATAACCCCGAGATTCCTTATAGATTGGAAGTTAAGTCTCTTTTTATGGGAATATGTTACTGTCATTAATTTCCAACAGATTTAGAATGTTTATTTCTATTGTACGAAGCTTTTGACTGGACAACGGGGTCCAAATGCTTCCAAACCACTGCCATTTGAAAGATATGTGTGTCTAATGTGAAATTAGTTTTGGAACTACATCAAAATTTCTTATAGATTGGAAGTTACACCTTTGTTTATGGAGACCTATTACTGTAAGAAATTGCAGACATTTCAGAACTGTAGTCCCTTTTCGCACTAAACTCTTGACTGATCAAATGATGCTCAAGTAGCTTCAAATTTCCTTTGTTGTCTATTTCAAATTGATGTTGAAATTGAGCTGAGATTTCTTATGAATTGGATACTATGCCTCCTTACGCATATGTATATCACTGATGGAAATGGTAGTGAATCCCGAATTGTTGTATGATTCATGATAAGTGGTGTGATGATTTATAAGGAGAATGCTTAAGCCTTTCATAAAGAGATTGAAATCATCTTTCATAAAGCACTGAATATGCATGCTTATAATACTGTGAATGCTCCTAAATTTCTTAAAAAATAATAGCAAAGTATGAGTGAATTTAATGCTTGAGTATGCATGTATATTGTTGCAATTGGCTGCGATATTGACTACTATGCAATGAGATACCCATTGGTAGTGGGATACTGTTATGATATGATTGTGATACTGACCACTATGCAATGGGACACCCATTGATAGTGAGACACTATTATGATATGACTGTGATACTGACCACTATGTAATGGGACACCCATTAGTAGTGAGATACTGTTATGATATGATTGTGACATTGACCAGTACGCAATGAAACACCCATTGGTAGTGAGATATTGTTATGAGAAGAAACTAATCCTGGTGATTGAGATCTTACCCCGACTCCAATGATAGTAATGGGGTCGGGATGTGAATGTGAATATTGGGAGGGTCGCGCCCGCCATGATCTATACGAGCACTACGAATTGAGTCACCCAGTGGTAGAGTGATGCCCTCTTGCCGGAAGGACATAAAGAGAGGATCAGTCTTGCAAGGCCACCGCCTATCAAAAATTCCAAAGCACGCTGAGGACTGTGTGTGTGTGAAGGGATTACGAAGTTGGTCACCCACTTGTCATTGTCTTCTCTCCTAAGTGAGAGTAGAAGTTTCAAGTTACAATAGCTTGGCCTAACCGATGAGACTTCTACTTTGGGAGTAAGCAACTTTAGTTTTTGCCTGTGTGCATTGTGCAGTTCATCTGAGTCTCTGTTTCGTTATTGTGAAAAGTGATGTAGTAAATACGAGCTTATGTAATATGTGATGGTCTAATATCTGAACTCTACTCCTTCTTATACTGCTAAAGAGTTGTGAGGCATGACTCTACCTTATGACACCTGTATAAAATGCAGGCATTGTCTGTAATTATCATTATTTATAGGGCGGAATGCAATGATGATGATCTACTTATTGGGCTTTTAGCTCATCCCTTTTATTTTTTATCTATGTAGAGTGATAAGCTCCGCATCTTGAGAGCAGGCAGTTGGACATTGTGGCAGACGACTGAAGCTCGGTGCTGGACAAAGAAACTTCTTGTTAGTAGGTGTCTGGTGGCGGTGCCACATAGTTGTTTTGTTATAGCTTCTTTGTATTTTGGGCCAGTAGTGCCTTGAACATAATTGTGAAAGAATTTTGGAGAATGTATATATGTAAAATGGTTTTATATTCTGTTCAGTTTTGTGGAGCTTGGTGAATGAGTTTTATATTCTTTCATGGTTTGCTTTGATTCCATCTTTCGATAAGCTTTGAGCCACTCCAACTTGAGTGGCATTCGCCACCTCACGTCGCAGTCCCACACTCTGTCGCCCTTCGGTATGTACGATAAGGGTAAGGGGACCGGTCGTGACACCGTTAGTGTTCCCAAAGTGGTGCTTAGTACTTCTTGATAGAAGTGGTGCTTAGTGTCTATTGCTTGGGAAGTCAAAATATTGAAACACGTTTTTCGATGTACTTTTTGGATTTGTACAAAAGAGAATGCTTGAAGGAGGAGGATAACAGTTCAAGTTTGTGGATTTCCTCGTGGCATATGTGCTAACGAAGTTAAAAGTCTTATCGAGAATATCACAATATTAGGGATTGCATATCAACTCAAAATTAGATTTCCAATCCAAGTTAAACATCATGTTTTAAAAGTGATATTTCTTTTCTCTAAAATGGAGGAAATACCCAAAAGGAGAACACATCAAGCTACTAAAGTCCGGTATTGGAAAGAAACAGTAAAGTATCATTGTATCTATTTAAATTTCCGCACTGTGAGCATATGACTCTTCTTACTAAGAGTATGTTTTTGTTACTTTGAGGATTTTTGTTTCTGTACAAGGTGTTGCCCTTTTTCCCTTTTTCTTTTCTCTTTTTTGTTTGCAAGTGTTGCCTGCTCCAGCTGTCCAAACTCCATCTGGTCTCTGTCAAAGCATCTTGAGTTAGAGGGAGAGTGTAAGGGCTTTGTATACTTGCATTTAATGACTTGAGGCACGACATGAATACGCTACTTGTCACTTGTGCAGAAGTAGCCAAGTGGATGCTTGCGGATGTAAAGTAATTTGGATAATTTTGCCTCCTCTGGAGAGCATGCTTACCTTTCTCCCTCACTTTAGAGATTTTTTGACACTCCACAAATCAGAATGCTCTCACCAGGTAAGATGCGAGATAGATGAGAAAGGGAGTAATATTACAATAGTGATGAAATTATAGTTATTAACATCAATGCACAAAACAAAAGCTATATTTGTTAGATGGTTACATTGTTGACATAACCAGGGGAAAGATGAATGACAAGGAGAAGGTGAGGAGACCAACCATGAATTGTCAAATGTCCTCAATTCTATCCTTAAGTGCTTGTCTAAGGTTTGTAGAATACAATGAATCTTTTGAAATTAATTCAGAGATTGAAATTCAATAGAGGACTGAAATTCAATAAGTAGAGTTTTTCTTTCTTGAGTTTTAAAGTTGATTGGAAGTTGAACTCCAATAAATGCGTATAAAAGTTTCAAGCTCATTGGAAGTTAAAATCCAATAAATGTTTTCAATAGTACCTTTCTTATTACTAGGAGTTGTTACAAAAAGTTAACTTGTGGTTTATTGACTTGAGAGTACAAGTGAGATAAAAAAAAAAAAAGGCCAAAATGCAATTTTACCATGACCTGAGTTTTGTAAAATCTAGCTTTATTGGTTATATGCTAAAAAGTGTGTATTGCTACAAGGGGCACAAGCTTTGAATTTATGATTCTCTCTTTAGGATTGGTCCCCCCGTGGTAGCATGTACCATCTCTTTCCTTACCGTTTTCAATAGGATCTTTGTTCCTATATTTTTCTTTGTTTATCCAATATTGCCTATTGGGGTGGCAATGGACCCGGATTTGACGGGGGACCTGAGCGGTAGTTTCCATTAGGTAACATAACACTATTCAGGTATGTGTATGGATTCAGTAATATATTTTGGGTTCCAATATATGAAAAATATTTAAATATAATTACATACCTAAATACTTTAATTTTTGGATCGGTTCCGATGAAGTTTGAGTTTGATGAGACCAGGTCAAGCCAGGTTGGGTTGGGGTTCGGCCCAGACCAACATGACCCGACTTGACCCGACCGGTTGCCACCTCTATACGTAGGGGATTATTGGCTTGAGATTACAAGTGAAATTTAAAAAAAGATCAAAATGGACAAGCAAAACCTAGATCTAGATGGAATCAAAGAAAGTAAAGGCCCCAAACCTAAGGTTACGCAAAACCTGAAAATCCCGGACACAAACGGGCCTTATGAAACATGTTTTTTATTAGTTGTCTTGAATTCTTTCAAAACCCTATAGCGTTTTATATCATAGTTAGCAAGTTGGGAACTATCAATAAATCGGCTCACCATAGAATCTGAAACAAATCGTTTTTATTTTAAAAAATCTGATGAAAAAATTGTATAAAAAATACGGATCGACAAAAATACTTCATATAAAGATATCGCTAATATATCAGATTAGGCTCAAAAAATCGGAGTCAAAAAATCAGATAAATTTATAATATTAAAAATTTTGAAATTCTAAAAAATAAAAATTATGTCAAACCCATCAATTATTAATTCATCTATAAAATTTTTACTAGACTAATATAATTAAGTCAATTAATTTAGATATCTCGTGACTCTCATCCAATCATCTAATAGTAAATATATAATTAATTAGTATATACCAAAAAAAGTTCCATATAAATATACCCATTAAATCCTTTAAAAAACATCACAACTACTTATTACATACAAAAATAAATAAAATATATAAATTTATTCTTTAAAATACTTTAAATATGGTATGGTGACAAATATATTATAAATTTATTTATTAAATACTTAAACATAATTAAATACGTCAATATAACTCCTACTCCGCATGTACCAAAAATAAATACAGGACTTTAGTTTTCTCATTACAATTATTTAGTCGCTCCATAACTATGGTTAAAGTTTTATAAATTTCTTTAGTTGAAAAGAACATCGTAGAAATTTGGGTTTTCCATCTGTGTTTACTGTGCAGAGGGAGAAGAAGGAAGAAGAGAAGAAGAGAGAAGAGAGAAGGAAGAAGGAAGAGAAGAAAATAGGGCTCGGCTTATAGCCATTAGGGTTTATAAAGAGAAGAAGGAAGAAGAAAATGGTTTTCACAAACCCTAATGGAAGGCCCTAACTGATTTTTAGAGAGAGAAGGAAGAACCCTAATAGAAGAGGCCCTAACTAATTTTTAGAGAGAGAAAAGGAAGATGAGATGCTGATTTAGGAAGATGGGATGCTGATTTGGGTTAGTTTGAAGAGGGTTTTTCATTTTCTAGAGGAAACCGAGCTGAAGGATTAAGTTTGGGGAACTAATCCTATATGTACAATTGCTTGCTCCTGTAAGTTTACAGTGTACACAATCAAAAACAAAATATTGATTACTTGGTCCTGTAGTCACACTCTCTGCTTCTCATTCATCAGTAAAAAATTATGCTTTGAGCTTTAATTTGTGCCATTAACAGTATTTTCACAAAAAACAATTATCGCAAATAGTCACAGCAATCTGCCTGTATATGATTTCTTTACACAATGATTTACTTTACAAAATGAGTTGCTATAAACAGTATTTCATTTACACAATGATTTTTTTAGAAGGACAACTGAAATTTGCATCTATTTGATTAAGTTTTAAAAAAACATTCATACCATCAATATGCAACTCAGTGGGGATAAAAGTTTTTTCTGTTTTTTTTCCTGAAGTAATTTTTTTTTAAAGCATGAAAATAGCAATAGACAAAACAGGAAAAAAAATATTTTTCCAAAAAACATATAGGTAAAAAAGGATACGATTTTTTTCTCAGATTTAAATCGTATCATGAAAAAAACCCGTTTTCAAAGGGTTTATGAAAATTACGCGATTGTTTGCCGATCTTTTTAAAAAGTCGCCGTTTAAAAGTATTTCCATAAAAACGCCGAATTTTTTAAAAAATCGATTTGCTAACCATGCTTCAGACTTGAAGAAAGTAGCAGAAATGGGGCCAAGACATGGCCGAAAAATCCGACTGTGCTCTTCATTTGGGCGCTCCATTAACAATCGCAATAACTTACAGAGGCTCCGCCAAATTAACCCAAATTCCACTGCGTCTAAATCCAAAGGTGCGGCCACTTTTGTGTCCTGACGCGTAACAGAAATTGCAGGGTTCTCTTAGCTTGTTGTCCTTTATTTTATTTTTCAAGTTTTTAAACTGGTTTCTTGTGCTCGTATATCTATTTATTGAATTTTTAGGTACTGATGGCTTTTCTTGTTAGGGTTTTTGAACCATGCTAGTGATGTTTTGTGCCATAAAGTCTTCCTCTTGGTACCACCACTATAGACCGTCATTTTATCATTAATTGTTGAGCTGATGTCTTAGTACCGGGTTTTCAGCAATCATTAACAGCTTTACTAATGGATGAATTTCCCTCCCCAAGAGAACACATGGAGCATTGAAAAAAAGTGCAATGGCATATTGCCATGGCTTTACGCTTTTCTTTAAGCATGTATTAGTTCGTGTTATTTTGGTAATGTGCGGATGAGATTTTTATTATTGGACTATTGTTTAACACTAGATATATAGAACTCGCTAATTATAAATTTACATGTTAAGAAATCCCATTTGTGACCAAAATTTTATCAACCTTTTGGATGATATTCCCATTTGTGACCAAAATTTTCTCAACCTTCTGGATGATAAATTGTTCAAGTCTGATTTTGCTTTTAGTAACTCGGGAATTATGGAGTCCTATAAGAAATCTTTTTTCGATAATTTCATTTTAAGTCTAAGAAATTATTGTGATCCTTACAATGTCCTACAATGATTAATTTAGGCATTTCAGGATGGGAAGAACCATGTCACTATGCTACTTGGATGCTACACATGTGATTTGTGATTGATTTAAGCTATGTAAATCAAATAATTTGTATTTTTGATTTAGATACTCGTGGTCTGGATGGTTTTTTTTGCATACGTGCCTCCAAGCACTTTATATATGACGGACAACCAGTACAACAAGAGGAGGAAAAGGATGACGAGGCAACAAATTTTTACTATTATTGTAAATTTTTTTATAGAGAAGAAAATGTACAAAAATAAAGAAAGTAAAACAATGAAGCCATTGGCAAGACAACTGCATGGTCCACTTTCCCAACTCTATGAGGTTACTACGTCTTCCACCTAATGCTATTGTGACGATGGCGTGATTGACTTCATCTGGCACATGTTGATAACCTACATCCACATATCTCCCAAATAACAAATATCGAAAATCTCTTAGAAGACCTTAACTAACTGTGAGGGAATAGTTGCCACCCTTTAAGCCCATCATATCACATTGAGAGAATCCCCTTTAACAGTGAGAGCTGAGAGTGCCCCCAAATAAACTTATCTTGAATCTACCAAAAGGAAAATCAACTTATCTCGAGCCTTGCAAGCAACACTTTAGGCTCCCACTCCCTACCTTGCATTATCTCTAGAACACCCATCAAAATTGAACTTGATCGCCTGATGCAGGCTTTGATCAAGCTGCCTCGGCCTTGATGGAAGTAGCCTGAGAGCAGTAAAATCCTCCACTTGAGAAGGTCCATAACTCTAATATTGGCAAACTCTGGTAGTGCCATTACCCACACATCTAGATAACGCTGTTGGACAGTCCGCCAACCTAGGGTCATAGCTATTATTCAGAAATTGTTATAGAGGTTCATTTATTTTATTCATATACTTAAGTTTTTTTCTTAAACAAATGAAATATTTTGAAATTTTGTTTAGTAGCTATGGAGACTCTATTGGGGACAAGTTGAATCCGAATGCTTAGCCTTGTATAGATGATGTTTGTGGTTGGAGCTTTCTTAGAAAATATAAGGTTTTTGGACATAAAGGATGCAGATCATAGACATTTTCCTTTTTCTTGATCTTTTTCTGTGTCTATGCATGCTTAATTCACGCTATTGATTTGAGATTTTATCTGTCGTTTAATGGTAATGTTCTAGATTTGATAAACTGACCCAAGTTCTAATATACGATCTTTTATGTTTTTGCATTTTTGTAGGTGGGGCATTTTTGTAGGTGGGGCATCTATTGATCAGGCTTCTTTGAGGAGACCAAGTGGGTCTGAATCTACTAGCTCTAGTGATGATGATCAAGAGGAAAATGTGTGTGCTTGTGTGCATGTGCCTACATGCATAAATACATACATACTACATTGTTGTGTGTATGTGCATGTATTGATACACTTATATATGACATATGTTTACTTGTTTACGATAGCTGCCTACGTTTGAAGCATATTTTCTCCTGAGTTTGTTTTGCTAAATTAGTGGGGAAGTTTATCTAGTACTTGTCTCACTATTTCTGCCAATGTAGTTATTCTCTTTACGTCACTCTGATTCTCTTAGCATCTCTCATGTAAGTTCTCTTTTTCTTTTTCATTTTCCCTAATTTTTGTGAGTACTCTTATCGGAAGTCAAAACATCACCATGTGAGGCTGAAAATACAAATGATTAATGATTTGGATTTATCTTTAACTCCTTTGCTATGGTTTTCTGATATTGATTAACTTGATGTCAGTGCACTACGAAATGCCCTAAACAATTGAGTATGCTTTTCCTACAACAATTGTCCTGGGGCAACATAACTAGAAGCATTGCTAGTAACACCTTGCTGCATATGTTTCCTTTTAAATATGTAGGAAGACTACTTTCATTTGCTCGAATACTTTTTTGGTCGGATGTCTTTGACCTTGAGAGAAGGTGTTATTTATATATGGTTGATGGACTGAGAGCTTTCTATCATTTGTTATTGAAAACATGCACTTTATATGTTCCACAAAAATAAAGTGAAACGTTTTGTTCATCTTTTAAGATTAGTTGTTTGTTCATTTTATGGATTGTGTTTGCCTTTAAATTTCGAATCTCATTCTATTTTGTTTCTGACAGTTATTGGCTTCAAACTAATTAAAATATTCCCTTCTACTTGTGGATTTTCTATTGATCAACTAGTCAATTATGCAGGCTGTTATGAATGTGGATTTGGAATTCTTCTACCCCAAACCAGATGATTTTCATGGACTGAAAATTTTACTAAATAACTACCTTGATGTTAAGGTGTGGGACTTGAGTGGATTTGTAGACTTGATTCTGGGACAGACGACAGTTGGGACTGTAGTTAAGCCGGGTGATGATGGTGCCCCATTTGGTGTCATTTCAGCTATCAATCTAGAGCGTTATAAGGCCTGTTCTCTCTCTCTCTCTCTCGCTCCCCCCTCTTCCCCCCGCCCCGCGCCCTCCCTCACACACCCTCATGCACAGACACATGCCTCTATGCTCTCTGCAAAGATTTTGCTTTGTAAATGCTAATGAAACTTCATCTAGCCTTTGCTTAAGCAACCACTTGCACGAGCCCATCTGTATGATATATTTCTGTATAACACTCGATATGAATTATCTGTCTGCTATATCTTGTTTTAGTGCAGACTCCCTGATGCAAATCCTTAGGACCTCATTACTTAATTGAGAGGATGGAAATTCAAATTATTTATGGCACAATGCATCTGGCTATTAGCATCCATGTTTGTAATGCAGTAGCAATTGGCAACATTTTTTTTGTGACAGTTTGTTGTGTTTATTTATTCAAGTCGGTTTTCCCTTAGTAAGTTAAGCATTGAATATTGTGAATAAAAAGAAGCTTTTACGTAGTTCCTTTGTGTTATCATTATGACTAATTAGCTATTTCAGATGGATATGGGTGCTTATTGGAAATGAGAATTTTTCAAGTCCTACCTCAAATTTTGGTGCAAGGAGCTTTTCAGAAAGGCCAGGCTACTATTGAAATAATGTGGTGATTTGGAGATATTGACAAAAAGGGGCAATGTGAGTGAGAAGGCATGGGAAACAGTTTTAAACTAGAAAAGATTAGTTAGAGGCGAAGATCTAGTGTGGTATGGTCAGAAGAAAGAGAAACAAATGTCAAATTCTGCCAATATTTGTTTAATGCTTACAATGAGTGTGGCCTGGATGAGGTGTAATTATTTGTTTAATATTTGCAGATAGGGGTTGTGTTCAATGCTTATATAGAGGATTTGATGTTATCAGCTGGGTTGCTGGAGTGGTTAGTTGGATGAACGCTCTCTTTTGAGGAATAAAGGCAACCAGTTTTAGTGTGGGGTGAGGTGGCTTGTTGAATGTTGACTTTCTTGCTGCATTTGTTCACAAATTTTGGGATCTCATACCATGTTATTTGAAGTTTTGGGAGTTAAAAAATTCTACAGTTACTTATCAAAAGAAAAAAATAAGAAATGAAATTCTCAATCATGTAAAGGATGTAGCAATTTTCTTAATAATAACATAAAAGAGCCAAAATTTGCTACATCAATAAAATAGAATGCTGATAGAGGACTACAGTATTACTTGATGTAGAAATTCCATATTCGGATGCCCAGTAACCCGAGGTGGAAGGGAACATGCAAACCCTATCTGATACAATATGAATTAGAAAAAAGAGGTGAAATATGTAACTGAAATGAATGTAGCTTTGTAATTTAAATAATGAAAACTACCAACCTTTCAAGGACGGAATATATGCATATTTATGACATACAACTAACATGAGTATCGAGTTAGTAGTGTTTCTTTGATGATGCAGATGGTTTTGGATGTTTCTTCCATTGCCTTACTGATAATTTGATTAGATGGGTTCCCTGCTGGTTGTTGAATGGAGCTGCAGTTTTGTCTTTTTTCCGTATATAGTTGCTCTTTGGTTTTTGAGGTTTAATCAGTTTTCTTTTGAAAATCCTTTTGATAAGTAATCATTTGTGGAGTGCTAGGTGCATTGGCAGCTGATATGTAGTATGTGTGTTGCATGGGTTAATAACAAACAGTGTGCATGCTGTTTTCTAGTTCACCAGTTGCATTTTCTATATGGCAGTGAAGACCAGCCTGCTCTACAATGGACTACTTCATATAAATTCTTACTCTTCATGGATTATGCTACAAGACACTTGATATCAGCATTACTTTTCTTGTTTGAGTCAGTTCCTATTCTTGATTAGTGTTTCTCCTTCTCAGGATCACCGATGCATTGTGGATCTTAAAAGCTTTCTTCTTGATGTATGCCATGAGAAATCGATAAGCAGTCAACTGAAAATCTTTTTGGGAGAGCAAGCACAGGGTGTGGGTCTCCTGGTCTCCCAGCGTGTGGTGAACCTTCCTCTCGAGATTTTACCTCCCCTATATGATAGCCTCTTTGACGAAGTTTCATGGGCGACTGAAGATGAGGTTAGCCACCTCTTCTTTGATTGGATTTGCCATGTCATTCATTATTTTTTTGTCTGTTGTCTCTCTCTCTCTCTCTCTCTCTCTAATGAATATTTCACTGAATATTTCGCTGCATTACTGTGGAAGAAATTATCAAATACATACTTATCCAGTTGCCTTTAAGTTTGTATAGCCCACACAGGAGCAAAGGGATTCTTTTCAGTTTAAATATTATCTAATAATCACAAGAATCTACCTGGTGCATTTCTTTTACTTTTATTTGGTCTTTTGGTGTTTTTTCATTGCCTCGTATGAGCTCAGACACTCAATGTTTGGTGACAACTCTATATCATTTGGGTACTTGATATTCTTATGCCATTCATTTAATTTTCGTTTTCATATTTGTGCTGTTAATTTGTGTGGGCTCCACCTAATTGAGTCTCTTTTCTGATTTCTTTAGTGCTTCTCTCATTGTAAAATGTAGATAAGTCATGGTGGAAAACCTAACGGAAAAGGTGCATTAGGAGAAAATGAGGCTGAACCAATATTATATAATCATCTGGAAGATGAGATTTTTGATAAGGTACTGATTCTTGCAGTTCTGCTTATCTTTGGGTGATATTTGAAGGTACTGATTCTGCAGTTCTGCTTATCTTTGGGTGATATTTTTCACTTATTCTTCTATGAGTCAATTCTTTTTCTCCTATAATATTTGCCAGTTGTGCTCGTGGTCCTTTACCTTTCAACTGCGTGATCAACAGGCAGTTACTCATGAGGTATGCTGGACTTTAAACTCTTGGTTGAAACCTGCTTAATCATGGCTTGCATTTTGGCCAAAATTGCCTGAACCATTGGCTGCAAACTGAAGCTTCTAGCTAATAATATCATTGGCTTCTGAAATATCTGATAATGGCCCTAGAAAATTGTCATTAAATTTTATGTCTTGGCCAAAGATGTGGGGAAGTTATCCCAAAATATTAAGCATGAAAATACTATATAGATAATGCATGAAGTAATTGGAAACAAACCCTCATAAATGTGTTTCCAAAAATGTGAGCTTCGTTTATGGTCTATTGAAGATGCTTTTGGTGACAGAGAGTTCAGAATGCCAGGTCATGACATCATTATTTGTTTTCAGACCTTCTTTATCAACTCTCTCTCTTATACATTGGGTGTTTTTCCCTAGTTGTAAACTATTTTAGGAAGTTCAATTGTTGCATTTTATTGAAATAAGGTGATCTTGTATTTAGAAATTAATTGTACTAGTTGTGAATTCATTTGTGTGGGGATTGCAGCTGAGAAATTATAGAAAAATGGGTCTGGTTATGGCGGTGAAAGCAGACAAACAAACTGTGGATAAATTCAGAGAGGATTTGAAGACGTTCATAAGTGATTCTTAACAGGACATTCTCACCTCTTTTTTGTTTCCGGTCACCATGTCTCATACAGCAAATTCGGATTTTTCCTGTTTCCGGGACTGTATTTATTATGAGTGTGATTCATAAAATAAATTTTGGTGTAATTTTAATGAGAACTTGAATTTATTTGCATTTCTTGTTCCTTCCCTCTCTCTCCATGTATGTTACTTTTCTATCATAAGTATTCTGTTATTCACTTGATGGAGATGTTCTGTCAATCATGTCATGCAAAGGGCCTTTCATGATGGGCAAGCATGTGCAGGCTTTGTTGGCTTTACAAGGTCATAGATTTGATCTATAGATTTTTCAAACCAACTTAATCGGAGTTTATATATATATATATATATATATATATATAGGAAAATGTTGAGATTAGCCCACTATCTCCTATGAACATATTAGTTCATACGAGTCTAATGGCCTAGATTGGATTTGGGACGGTTATGATTTTATTTTGTGTTTTAATTTTTTTCTACAAATCCAAATAATTTGAAATTTTACGTGTGTCTTTAAAAGATATGATAATTTAATAAAAATATCAAAAATTAATTTACAATAAATAAATTGTTCAAAATGCATTTGAATTGTTTTGGGGGTATTTTGGTTAATTTTTTTTTTTGATTTTTTTTTAAATATTTTTATTAAGTGCGTTTTGATGAGAAGAATGGACGTTTAAAATTTCAATTTATCTAGATGTGTAGAAAAAAAATTAAAATTAAAATACGAAATGAATTTGTGACCGTTGGATCGGTTTAGATTCAAGTTGGGCCGTTGGGTTTATATGTTCATTAATTGTGAAATTTAGAATTTAAAAAATAGTGTAGATTGAGCAGGTCTATAAGCATTCTGAAAATTTGGAAAATGAACAGTTTATAGATCATATGTTATAAGATGTACAATTTTTAGGACTTGATTTTTTTTTTCATGTTCTTGTATCTCGAGGTCGAGATGATGAATTGTAGGGTTTTTGTAGTCGAAACAATGTTTTTAGATGTATTTTCGTCAATTTATATTTTTAGAATTATTATTTTTAATATTTTTATTAGATTCTAATATTTTTTTAAAATAGACATTCAAATTTCAAGTGATTTGGATTTGTATAAAAAAAATTAAAATTCAAAACAAAATGAGATCGTGACCATTGGATTGGGTCCATATTCAATTTGGGCCATTCGTTGATATTGTAGTTGTTAGCAAGATCTTTTTCCTATATATGAAATGATTTTTATTTTGAACAGTTTTATAGTAATATAATGAATTAATCTTAAAAAATTATGTTAGTGCCATTTGTTTGGCTTTAATTTTTATATTTACTTTCTAATGAACAAAAATTTAAAATATAATCTAAAAAGTGTTTTTTAACCTAATTAATATCGGCAGTTCATATTATGAAATGTTTAAATTTAGGATTTAGAAGGATCATTATCCTTGGCAATTTCTTTATATGGCTTTATTTTCATTAGATTTAATAGTGCAAAAAATATATATTTTGATTTTATAAAAGTCCAGATATTGAAATTTAACAAATGGATGGTTTAGATATTAGAGGAGACTTTAAAATTCAACAAATGGATAGACTTATTTTGACCCCTGCTTTCTGCAAACATCTTTGTCAACCTCATTGCACACAATGCAATGATGGAGTTATGTGGATCAACTAGTATCCATTTATTGAAGATTTGAGGTGTATGTCGTGTTACGGAAATAGGCATTCCCGCATCATCCACATGGATTCCATTAGTACGCCTCCGCGTAGGCATCCCTGATTTTGACATTTTGTCTTTGAAATCTTGCGTCTTTGGTGCACGGGCAACATTCGCTAGTGGCACAAGTTTCTTCTATTGCCTCTTTGCCACCTCGAAAAACAATATGAAAAAAAATGTGGCGTATTGCTTTTTAGAAGGTTCTTAAGTAATTGTCAGGCGAGGTAGGTCTAGCCTTTCGTTGATCAGACTCCCAAACCTAGATGTTTGTGTCCTCTATCTCTACAACAACTATTGTAATGGCCCTTTGCATTTGTACTAACTCTCCCCCTCTATGTTCCTTTTAGAAATGCGCCACCTAAGACCATCTAGAAATCCGTACATTCATGGATGGAAGTATAGAAACAAATGCTGAAATCTGTGGAAAGGATCTGTCTGTCTCTCCTTAACCTATATAGATTGGAGTTGATAAGTTGTAGCTCTATGCCCGACTGCTCATGTGAACCCTGCATCATTTTAATCACGATGTCTTTTTCCCCGCTACGCTTGCATATATGTTAATGGGACACCGTGTTCTCTTTTTGAACAGCATTCACAGTACATTTTGGAGTGGGATCCATCTTGTCAGTCAAACGGGCTTTAATTTCTCTGGCTGCACACTGGCTATGTGCAAATTGCTGATAGCCCTTCAAAGTGCACTTGTATATGTGAGTTCTTTTTCCATCTTTCTGATCTCAAAACATTTAGAGGGCGTAACCTTAGAGCAGCGAACTTCTCGTTTGCATCCCTCCTCAACATAAATTGCAACTATATGCTTTTGGTTGTTTCTCTGGTATTTCATTACAAAATTTTGACATATGGTATAATCAATTAAGTGATCACCGAGTGTCCTAACATTATCAAAATATTCCCCCGACATGCATATCAACTTATGTGAGAACTGAACTGCATAGAATTCCGATAAATATTGGCCATCAGGTTTGGGTACAACTCTATGCCACTATCTGAGTCTAGCTAGCATGCATATACTTCATTTCGAATGATAGGGATGGGGCGGGAAGTCATGGCCAAACCATTCAATAAGTATTAAATGCAGAAAATAAAATATAAACATAATCATGCAAGTTAGTATTATTACCTGATCCTAGTCGATGGACCACATGATGGACCTGACCTCCTATTGGCTGATGATCCATTTTGCTGTTCAGAAGATTAGTTCCCAACACATATGTGAACAGTAGAAGCTACCAGTCGCAAAAATGTCACATCGCTGTTCTCATTTAGTCCTACCTTTTTTTGATACATAACTAACTATTAGATTGCTCCAATGAGTGACATTTCTTATACAATGTAGCTTTCACGTTTCTACCATCATGGAAAATTCGTCCATCATTTGTACCACTCAGAAAAAACCACCATAACGACACTCCTGTCTAACTGCACCAATGGCCACTCTTACCACTCGAACGAGAGGCTTGTAGAGTCAATCCGAAGTAGCCACGACTAAAGACACCCTAACACCAATATAACGGGCAACCCACAATGGATCGCACTTACAGTTATTGCACAAACATAAAAAGAGGAATTTCATGGATCAAAATTGAATAAACAGGATAAACAGTTACAAGATTTTATAAACTGTGAAAGGAATGACACCAAATTCACGAGGTTTGGAATACCTGAGATTGGGTAAGAGAATGAATAGTACCCAAATTTTCAGATGCTGAATATAGCTAAACTTAGTGTGGAAATTTGGGGATTCCATTGGATCAGAGAGATATTAATGGAAACGAAAAAATGGATAAAAAAAAAGAAGAAGTCAAAAGCCAACGGCACAACCATAATTTCTCTCTACAAGTTAAATGAGCTACAAGTCATTATCGCATATTGCAGTACATCCCAAACTAGAGAAACTTTTTTCTCATAATTCACAAGAAACATCAAGAGCCTTGACTCAATTATTTTCTTAAAATAGAAAGTATTCATCCAGGTACCTGGAACAAAATGAAATGTACAAATATATACTTTTAGTTAAATAATCTGCTTTGCCAAAATCCCTCTTTTACAAGATATTAATTTAGGAACGACAATTTCAATAAAAATTCTAAGCAAACATACACAAAATAAATATCCAACTATATGCAGAGCACCTTACCGGCCCGACCAATTATAGAAAAAATAAATATTCCACAATGCCAAAAGCACCTTGCAAAAAACTAACCAATCCCAGGTAGGAACAGATTGAATTAATGAATGCATAACGCATAATACAAATCACACCTTCCAATATGCAATAAGTAACGAAAGGAAAACCTAATTGTGACACTCGACTGGAGCAGCGGAGTCCTAGAACTGCCTGAAATTGGGGGGTTCGACTAGAGAGAGGGAAGAGAGAGTAGAGAGACAGCTTGAAAGAGAGAGAGACTGGTTTGTTGCTTGTGTTCTTATTAGGGGCCCTAATTCAAGTTTTCGTGGATCTGTTGGTCTAAATTATTTTTGAAGCTTTAAACTTTATAAATAAATATAAAAATATATTTTAAGGTTGGTACAAAGATTTTCAATATTGAAACCGCATTTCTCGACACTATTTGAAAGTGGGTTGTAATTTCTCGACACTACTTGAAAGTAGGTTGTAATTTGATTGTATTGGACACTACTTGAAAGGAGGTTGTAATTTGATTTTATTGGAACCACATTTCTTGACACTATCTGAAAGGGGGTTGTAATTTGATTGTGTATTTGAACCACATTTCGACACTTTCAAAAGTTGTAATTTATCGTTTCGACACTTTTAAAAGATGTAATTTCTCGACATTCTAGTAACTTTCAAAAGTTGTTATTTCTCGACATTCTCAACACTACGTACTTTCAAAAGTTGTAATTTCTCGACATTCTCGTCACTTTCAAAAGTTGTTATTTCTCAACATTCTCAACACTACGTACTTTCAAAAGTTGTAATTTCTCGACATTCTCAACACTACGTAGGTTGTAATTTGATTGTTTAGAGCAGTGTTTTAAAAACTTGAAAGTGGGTTGTCATTCGATTGTTTCGACACTACATAGATTGTAATTTGATTGTTTAGAGCAGTGTTTTAAAAACTTGATAGTGGGTCGTCATGTGATTGTTTAGAGCAGTGTTCTAGATCGGTGATACCGCACCAAATTGGGTATTTTTTTTTTTTAAATCCAGATTTTTTTTCTCCCTCGATATTTTTGGTATTGTTACACCATCAATCCGGATTTTCTTTTTCTCTCGGCATTTTTGGTATCGTTACACCATCAACAAACCAAAGTATTTATGTCTGATATTACTATTGAGGTTCCACATTTATTTTGTCTATTCACTCGACTATGTGGGACAAGTATTAACATCCATTGTTAAAGTTAAATTAAGCTTTTTGCAATGAAAAATAACTCTTTTATTAAATA